GCGACTATTATATTTTATTTTTTTAAGTTTTTAATTATTACACAACATACCGAAAATGCATTTTAAATTCCATTTCTGAATATGATGATACAATATTTTCTACATAATTCTGGTATCGTATCCTTGGTACATAGGTTAATCGATTCAGTGTAACTATTATTTCAATATCTGAATCACTTGAATCACTAGAATCACTTGATTCATATATACTATTCATTAACGTATTCACAGCCAATGTTATTATATCTTTATTATTGTGTCTTCCGTTTCATTCATTGTAAAATAAATAATTCGAGAGTAACTTACAGAAACTTGTTGGAAACATACTGCTAGTGCGTTCCGTTTTCTCTTTTTGCAGTAATGAAAAAGTGCATAAAGTTAAAACGGAACGCTATCTACAGTACACTTCTGTGACATCATACCACTAGTACTGGCAGTACATTTCGGAACGCAGCCTAAGCCCTTATAGGCAGTGATCAGTATGAAAGGGTGAGATCCCCACTTTATCCCTGCGATAGCTTTGAGGATATTGATTCGCGGAAGGACCTTCCGACGTGTTTCCATAACGTGTTTCTTCCACTTTAACGAATAGTCTATGTGAATTCCTAAGAACTTCACTGACCTCTCGAGTTTGACAGGAGATAGGTTTATTTGTAACTGTATATTATGTTTCTTGATTAGCCACTTTGTATTACGTAAAGAGTTGAGAGCGTAAAAGGTAGCTACTGAGTTATTAGGAGAGACTTTTAGGTCAAGAGAGGCGAGGTGTCTAAGGGCCTCCGCACAAACTCTTTCTTAACGCGTTACGTTACGTTAAGTTGGCTATGAACTTAGATTTGTACGTAAACTTAAACGTCATTCAACGCACAAACTAATATTTAACGTAACGTGACGTTAATTACTAGTCGTAAACTTAGATTTGTATGTAAACTTGAACTTTATTCAACGCACAAACTAATACTTAACGTAACGTAACGCGTTAAGAAAGAGTTTGTGCGGAGGCCCTAAATATCCTGTCTAACGCTACGTTTAGTCTGCTAGTAACCTCGACTATGGATTGGTTAGAACAATACACCACCACGTCGTCAACGTATATCAAGGCATTAAAAGTGGGAGGCAGGCAGCGTTCGACACATATATATTAAACAATACCGGACTCAAAACCGAGCCCTGTGGAAGGCCTCGAGAGGTAGATCTCTTCTGCATGAGAACACCCGAAACGTAGGCCTCCAGGTCCCGATACTTCACTACCGATGATATAAAGGCCACCATTCGTGGGGTTACCCCCAGTTTGGGGAGCATAGCTAGAAGTTTGTTCGGATTGACGTTGTCAAAGGCACCTTCGACATCCAGAAAAACTGAACCTGTGACTTTACGTGAATTATTAGCTAGTTTGACGTGAGACACAAGCATTGAGATACTATCCGTGCACGACAGACCACGTCTAAACCCAAACTGGTGAGAGGAGAATATATCGTTGTTTTCGACCCACCACTCTAGTCTTTTACACATTATTTTTTCTAGGATTTTTTGGAGGTTATTAGCTAGAGAGATAGGTCTATATGATCCGCTACGACCCGGTTTGGGAACAAAAACTACAAAATATTGTTTCCACTGGTCTGGATATTTCTTACCAGAATACATCCAATTCAGGATTTCCAGGATATACTGATGTAACTCAAGAGAGAGTTGCGTTATGATGAAGTTGGTTATCAAGTCAGGGCCGGGAGCGGACATAGTTTTTAAAGATTTGACAACCGAAGTATATTCGTCGGAGGAGATAGAGGAGTCCATAAACGACCCAACCAACCCGGAACCAAGCAACTCCCGTTCCTCGTCCCAAACCACCTCGTCTGAGGGGGGAGGAGGGTTCGAAGGAGCAACCTTGTCAAACGCCAGACAGAACCCTGTCGGGTCAAGGCAGTTCCTGTTCCCGGCACTTCTCGACCTGTTACGAGTTCCCGAGAAAGCCCTAACCTTATGCCAGACCGAGCCAATATCTGAGTTTGCATGTAGTGATCCACAGAACTTACGATAGGCTTCTCGCTTCTTTTTTCTCAGGAACCTAGCAACTTCTTTGGAGGTCTTGATGTAGTTTTCCTGGTTTTCAAAACTAGGGCAGGCACAGAATTGGGCGAAGGCTACCCTTTTTCGCGAGAACTCAGTTGAACAAGAGGCATCCCACCAAGGAGAGGGGGTTTTCTAGAAGTTCCGAGTTTATTCACTACCCGAGCTCCCGCCAACAACGCATCTTCTATAAAGTTTGTCAGATTATTGTACACTGCATTTATATTACAATCGTTAGTGGAGGGTGGAAGAGGAAGATTGACGGACTGAGAAGAACAGTGAGTTTGAACCTTTCCCAATCCACCTTTCCAACCGAGTAATAGGAGCGACAAGCGGTACGGCCCCCGAACCTGTCACTAATAACAGTGACGACGAGGAAGTGATCGCTACCGTAGCTAAAGTCACACACTTTCCACGAACAACGGTGGGCAAGACATTGTGAGACTATAGTTAAGTCAAAAGAGGAACGACTCAGCTGGTCAGAGGAACACCACGTGTGACTGCCGTCATTAAGAACAAAAAAGGGGGAACTAGTAATAGCTTTTTCAATACTTTTCTTCTCTGCATTGGAGTAGGGGGGAGAGTGACACCAGAGTGGGCTTTTTCCGTTGAAATGGCCACAGATTACTGACGGTTGGAACCGAGAACAGATCTGGAAGAAAGTGGGCCAAAAGGTTGTGTCCGTGTAACTGGACGAAGAGCGTGGAGGGCTATATACTGAAAAGACGTATAGAGATTTGTTATGCGGGAAGAGAAGTTGTAGAGCTACAACTTCAACTGAGTTTTGAAGACATAAATCGACCAGATCAGGAATATCAGAGATCTGGAATTTTATATGTTTAAATAAAAAACTACAATAAAAGGCTACAGCTATCGCAACACCACCGCCATGTCGATTGCGATCTCTGAATATGATTTCATGGTTAGGGAAGGTCAAGATTGTATTGTTGTCCATGTACGTCTCACAGAATGCAGCCACTGACCCCGTATCTTGGAGTAACAGTCTAGCAGCATCCAGATTACGCACCAATGAACGACAATTCCATTGTGTAAGATTGACTGAATTCATGGTTTCGGATTAGTTTGAAAAGATTTATGAAGGGCTCTTAGTTTGGTAAGAGACTAATGAAATTAATTCTTCAATAACGTTATGTAGGTTGTTTGTACTTAGGTTTGAAAGATTGAGTTTTGTATAGTCTAGATTGTATTTTTCGAGAATAGGGGAGAGAGTTTGTTCCCTAGAATTTTGTAGGGCGAGAGGGGGAGGATTACCACCTTCCTCCTCCCTTCTGTTGTTGTAATTTTTCTCGTTATTGATTAACGTGAGGGTTGACTTGGAAAGAGGGTGCAGTCCGGTAACTTCCGCGAAGGATAGTGAGGACTGACGTAACTTACTTTTTCCATCAGACCTATTACACTCTTGACTACGTGCTGGGTACGTGCTGAAGTCCGGAGAGTCCTTCACTCTGGGTGAACGGACGAGTCCGGGACCGAGGACGAGGCGGCGGAGGTGAAGTACCAGCCTGGAACCTGAACACTTGTCCTCCAAAGGAAGGCGGCGGCCAAAACTCCGAGAGCGTTGGAAGGGGGACTGACGAACCCCGGCCGCCACCCGACTCGCTCCCAGGGGAACCCTGGGAGTCCGAGCAACCACCACCATCACACAGTTTAGCTGCATCCCTGAAAGACACAGATCACAAAAGGCCATTAACTTATTTATTTCCCTTTGTCTTTTGAACAAAGGGCAAGAAAGAGCTGAAGCTTGGTGTGTTGAAGACTTACACCTGGAGCGTACACAGTTAATGCACTCCTCACTGATGCTGGTGCAAGAAGGCTTAGAGTGGCCATTCTTACCGCACCTTTCGCACACACGTTTGCTGTCATTACCAGACTGTTTACACGAAAACTTTGTGTGTCCAAACCTTTGACAGAACTCGCATCTTCTAACTTTATATATGTACGGAACCAGTGACAGTCTCTTGCCGTAATACAGGCAAGAGCTGGGTACATTTGACGTGCGGAACCTAAGGATGAACTGGTTGGTGTTTTCGTACACCGGGTTTTTCTCAGAAGAGCCTCTGACTTTACGGGTAACTCTCACCGCCTCGAACGGAAGGATCCACACCGGTCCACCTCGGGGGAAACGTAAGCCAGCAACAACATCCTCTGCCGTCTCTTCCGCATCATCAATGCCCCTAAGGACGTACTGCTTAACGACCCTGAAGGACGGGACGTGAGCCGTCCACACTTCAGAGTGGGTGATGCACCCTGATATACTTTTAAAGCGATCAACAAAATCATTAGCACTGTCTGCTGAAGAAAAGCAGACAGAAAACTTATTTCTGCCTATCAAACAAAGATCATGTGCATGCATGAATTGATAAGCAATAAGTTTATTAAGCTTTTTACCCAATCCTATTACGCTGAGGGAGGCACTTGTCTTACCTGACTCAGAGTTAAGGTTATCCTTGTCCGTGGGGGGGTCCCCCGGCCTACAGATCTCTACATGTACCATAAACGGG